GGGGCCGTGCTTCAGAACGAGGAAGGGGGGACCCACACAAATATCCAAAACTGAGCAGATTCATTTTCCAACATTCCAGAAGAAAACAGGAAAACTGAAATTACATTGTGTTGACAAACCCTGTTTTTTTGTTTTGGTTTTTTTTTTGTTGGTGGTTTGTTGTTGGTTTTTGTTTGTTTTTTTTTTTTTGGGTAACAAAGCAAAAGGTGAAGGCAAATTTTCCAAAGTATTGTAAAATTTATTGTATAAGTATTGCAGCTTTTAGAATGACATATAATTGCCACTATTGGTTACTGGTACACAAGAAGCGTTTACAACAGATTTTTGTAAATTGGCATCAGAGTACATATTCATACTAAAACAGCAAAATATAGATAAGTACTGCATTGCATGTGCTGTCAATAGTTTACATAAGTTTAAATTGAACAGAACTCAGGATACAGGACTGCCTATAACAAACTCCAAAGCCAACACAATGCAACTGGAAGTTTAAGAAAATATTAATACAATGAAATGTGTCTATAAGGCAGGCAAATTAGGACTTTAATGTTGTCCTTCATGAGCTTCTATAGTACAGCAAAAATTTGAAGCGCAGTTTCTGGAAAACTTCTTTTTGTTTTTCTTTTTTGTAGCTTTGTGTTGTACACAGAAAATCTCTGAGCAGTTCAGAGACAGAAGAGATTAAAATTCATTCTGTTCTGGCCTAGCACTGTTAATGCTACACATCTGATTCAGTCTTTTACCAATCCTTAGGAAAAACATTGGGCTTTGATTTCTTTATTTTTTTAATATAGCAGTTAGTGCAATTTTGTAATTCAATACACATACAAAAGGGTGATTCTCCAGAAAGCAATTGGATTTCCTTAGACCCCACTTAAGACAGAATGAATTTTGTAACACTCATGGAAACAACACGCTGGATTAGTAAAGCTGAGTCTTCAAACCAAGGGTTGTGAAGGGAACACGTTTGACCAGGGTCAGCCCCAAATGAAACCCATCCTTCCACCCACCAGAATCAGCAAAGCCACGTTCCCATTCCAGGCCAGTGAGGTTTGGGGGCACTTTAAGGATGCTGTTTGCCGTACTGTAAGCTAAGAAACTCTGTAAGATCAACAACCCCTTTTAAAGCTAATGCGACTTAAAACTCCGAGCAAAAAGGCAGGCTAGGACATGAGGTTGCTAAGCATTAGCAATGCTTTGATTCTTCTGTATCTCTTTAAAAATAAATCACTTTTAAGGGGCCTGAATCTCTGTGCTGGCAGCTGCAGGACACTCTAGCACCACTCTCCACTGAGCTGCACCAAGGCCAGAGGAACGGGGCATCAGCAAGGGTGTGCAAAGCAAATTCCCTGCCTTGGTGGCAATTCGGGACGTGGGAATGGGGAAGAAATGGACCCCGAGGCAAAAAGTAACATTAAATAGTAGTAATAATAATAATAACAACAATAACAACAACAATAATAATAATAAAAAAAAGAACAGACCATTATTTCTAAACACCCATTCAGAACTTGGAGTTGATCTGGGCCCCAGATCTGTTATCTGCACTTGAAATACACAGTTCTCAGGACTGCAAAGAGAGGGATGGACAGAAGAAAGACAAAAGAGAACAGCTGAGCTCTGCTGAGGAGCTGCACCCACTGCCTGGGACCTGGGGCTCTCCCCACTGGAGCTGCAGCAGACCAGGGAAACGTGGCAGCTTGGGGTTTGTGCAAGGATGGGCTGCAAGGCATCATTTGCAACAGAAATTTGGTGTTGATGAGCCACCCCATTTCACACTCATTAAGCTCCCCAAACTAGAGAAAGAGGTAAATGAAACTGGAGCCAGGAACTCAACAAACTGATCACTCAACCGCAGAGCTTGGGGTGACGCTAGACAAATAAAAGCTCACACTGGGAGAGGACTGGGGAGGGAGGAAGAAAAATAGGGGGAAAAGAGAATTGGTTGAAATTTTGAGGACTTTCAAGCATGAGAGCTGGGTTCAATTGCACTGCATCTTCAGACCCTCTCCCACTACCCCTCTGTGCCTATCCAGCCCCTGCCCACTTCCCTGACTTTTCCATGGGGTTTGGTGGCCAGGTGACACCCTGTGACAAGACAATCTCATTTCTTAACAAGCTCTGGACCCCACACCACCTCTTTACTCACTGCTCAGTTTTAAACGTGTGATGCATATTCCACCCAAAATCTGCTGAGGTAACCGTATTTTTTTAATAGCAAACAAAACTAGTTCAGGTCACTGAACAACACCCCCCCACCCTCCCTCCCCAAAAAAACACAACAAAAAAACAAACACACCCAACCCCAACAACACTATTCACGCATTTTGGCTCAAGAGGGCAGTAGATATTATATTTCGCTTTCTCTTTTGGTTGGTATCTCATTTACAATATCCACCACAGATTCCTACCTCCCCGGGTAGGATAATGTGCATAAAACGTGTTCAAGTTCCCTAAGAACAGTCGGAGCAGAGCAGCGGCCAAGGGAGCAGCAGGTGTGGCCAGGCACAGGGAGCTGCTCCGGGAAAAAGGGACTGGAAAAGTGAATGCAAGGTCCAAAGGAGCAAGAGACCAGACGCTGGTTACTTGTAATGCTAACGATGATTTTGTGTCCCCCTCTCTAATAAGGGAGGGTTACTGTTTGTTTAATAAGGCACTAAATAGACATGTTACATAAAGGAAAGATACATTTAAAAAACTCGTACAAATTCACCAGTTTTGTACCTTTCATGACAAACTAGATTTATTCCTTTGCATTACTTTCTTTTTTGTGGCTTTTTTTTCTTTTTTTTTTTCTTTTTTTTTTTTTTTTTAGGTCATCAAAATTTAGGTTACGTGACTGTAAAACTATGAAGATTTCAAGAGCTGTGGAAAAGCAGTTTGAAGTATTGAGAAGGTACAGGACTATTTCTAGGCAGAAATAAAAAAAATAAGCAAAAAGCAAAAAAATAATGATCAAACTTCAAGTTCAGCTATTCATCATCTTCTTTAAAATATATATAAATATTGTTCAAATGGTCAGAACTTCAAAACCGTTCTCATGGTTATGTTTTTTTTTCTTTTTTCAAGTAATAAAAAAGTTGCTTAAAAACAATAGTTATTGCCTTTATATCTTTCATTTATGTCACTCTACTAGATAGCATCCTGCAGGAAATCAGATCACACCCCCTTGTAAAATCCTCGCTCTCTGCGGCTCCCTGCCGACCCTTCCTCGCGCTCGGACAGACGGGACCCACGACGGGATTTCTCCCTTTTGCCTTCTCCCCCTCGCTCTCTCAGGTTTCCCACTCACTCACTCAGTCACCTAGGAATTCACCACGAGGGTGAGGCCCCTACCAGACACGGAGGTGACAAAAATGTAAACAAGAGCAGAGCAAGACAAAGCGCTTCCGAAACCAAGAGAAATGGACCACGCGCAACGCCCGGCGGCGGGAGGGCAGCGGGACCTGGGGGGAGGACGTCCCAGAAGAGGTAAGGGGGGGTTGCTTCTAAAGCCTTAAGCATTATTTTTGTAGCCTTTAATTAATACAACACAAGGAGCAGATTCGTTTCCATCTACTGTACCTGGTGCCTCTTTAGCTGGATAACAAACGTCAAAAATAGCGACAACCAGGGACGGCGGCGCCGCGGGACACGGCTGCGCCCGTTGATCCCAAATTGAGGTTTGGGAGGGTGAAACAAAATGAAAATGATGTTCACCACCACCACACTTTCCACCTCGTCCTTTCAACGAGACATTTAAACCCAGCTGAAGGGCAGCCAGTGGGTGCGTTACCAGTTCCTCACATCGACTTCCACAACCACCGCTTTGGCTCCAACGGGGCCCTTCAGTTGAACATGGAAAGAAATAAACCAAAAAACACTTTTGTTCCTTCAGACACAGAAGTTTATTCTCAACCCCCACCACCCTCCCCTCCAAAAAGTTAGAGGTTGTCCAAAAAAAAAAAAAAAAAAAAAAAAAGGAAAAAAAAAAAAAGAAAAAAATCAAGTAATTTTTGCCTGCTTCAGTCATTCCTGACTGCGGGAAGCAGGGAGTTTTCATTTTACCTTGTTACTCCAATAATCCTACCGGATGACAGACAGACACACACCACCTCCTCTTGCTTTGTAGGGAATGTATAAAAGCCGTGGCTGTCGGCGGCCACGCGCAGGGACTCTGGAAATTAAGGATTTGCATAAGCTGCAGTCTCGCTCACCGCTCCTCCCAGGGCTGGCATCTCCACTCCAGCGATCCTCCTCCCCTTCCAGCTACTTTGTTCTTCACTTCCACATAGATCCCTTAACAGGTTCATGGTAGACATGATAGAGGCTTTGACCAACACAAGCACTGACATATTTATATTAAAAAATAGTGCAAAATTTCAACATTTATATAAATAACTCTAAACCCCTGCTTTTGATTTTTTTTTTGTTTTTTGTTTTTTTACAATGTAATACATGCTTTTTGAGTTGGCACTCAAAAAATTGCCATTTTTCTTCTAGTTCAGAAAACAACTTTTTTTTTGAATAGGCCTCTTCTAATACAAAAATACTCCTGCTCCTTACACATACACTTTCTCTTATTTTTAATATATATTTATATATTTATATTGCAGATCTTTAAACAAAATGGTTTTTGTGCAAATATTTTGTTTTTAAAGATCTAAACCCCTGCTTTTGATTTTTTTTTTGTTTTTTGTTTTTTTACAATGTAATACATGCTTTTTGAGTTGGCACTCAAAAAATTGCCATTTTTCTTCTAGTTCAGAAAACAACTTTTTTTTTGAATAGGCCTCTTCTAATACAAAAATACTCCTGCTCCTTACACATACACTTTCTCTTATTTTTAATATATATTTATATATTTATATTGCAGATCTTTAAACAAAATGGTTTTTGTGCAAATATTTTGTTTTTAAAGATAAGTGAAATAATCAAACAAAAAAAAAAGCATTCACACACAGCCCAACTAGAAACAAACAAAAAAAAAAGACTACAGTTGAATTTTTTTTTCCTTTTTAAACGTCTAGACACAGCTCAATAAAGAAATGTTTTTGCAAGCTTGGTAGGCTTGTGCATTCAGACCAGACATAACAAGTAAATATTTATACACGGAGAGATGGGGAAGGGCTTCTTTTTTTTTTTCTTTGCTCATCTTCCTCAACTCTCTCTCTCTCCTTTTTCTTTTCATGAGAAGTGCAGAGTGTTTCATTTACTTTCTTGCCTTTTTTTTTTTGTCATTTTTCCTCTTTTTTTCTTTTTTTTTTCTTTTTAAAAGGGGTGCCCTTTTTGTTTCTCTTTCTCTTTGTTCCACGCCGTCGTCGTCGTCGTTGTGCTCTCAAGGCCATTGATCTGTGAGGGATGGAGTCTGCTGCCCTCCAGGATGGGGGGCATCCCGTTGTTGTTCTGCTGGTGCTGGTAGAAGGTGGAGCCGGGGTAGTGGCCGATCACCTCGCTGTAGGTCGGCGGCGGCCCCTCCATCCTGCCGCTGCTGCCGTAGCAGGTGGCACTGATGCCAGAGTTACTGCTGGGCGGGCACGGCCCCCCGAACACGGAGTTATCTATCAAGTCACTGTCGAAGATGGTTCTGTTTGGGGGGGCCCGCACGGACTCCCTGTTGAGCTCCATCTGCTGCTCGGGGTCGCGCAGCTGCAGCGTGCAGGGTCCCTGGTAGGGCGGGGGCTCCTCGCCGTCCGACAGCGAGATGGTGGGCGGCAGGTCGATCTCGTGCTGCAGGTACGGGTACGTGGGCTGGAAGCGGTTGAAGCGGTCCCTCTGCAGGAAGGAGGGCACTGCCAGGCGCTCGCTGGGCCGCGGGGTGTAGATCTGCTGCTGGAAGGGAGAGCAGAGGAAAAGGGTGAGAGGTGTGAGCGGCCGGGCACGGCGGGACAGGCGGCGGCACCCGCGGCGCCCTCACCTCGGTGATGCCGGTCCCCGACACGGTGCTTTCCGAAGGCCACAGGCTTCCCTCCTGCATGGGAAAGGAGAAGAGAGGCCAGGGTGAGTGATGGCAGGGGTGGAAGCTCCTTCTGCAACAGGTGTCACCTAGAGAAGACATTGCCACCAAGGTGCTCCTGCCCTGCCCGCACCAACTCCAACCAGCACCTCCAACTGCGACCGTGTGTGCTGGGCATCGTGTGGGTACCTGCTCCTACACCCCTTCCGAGCAAAGCTTCCCTCCCCTTGCACCTCCATCTCCGTTTGATGGATCGTTTGCAGAAAGAATGATGAGAACAGCACTACCAAACAACCCTCTCCCATCTGCAGACTTCCCCCCTCCCACCCCCAGCAGGGTTCTTCCCCTGGTTCAAACATGCCAAATGAGTATTTTTCAATTTGTGATCCATGAGCCGTGGGTGATTCACAAGACATCAAAAAATGCTCCATGAAATAATGACAAGATTAAAAAAAAAAACAAAAAAAAACCAAAAAACACAACAAGAAAAAAAAAACAACAAAAACCAACAAAAAAAAAAAAAAAAAAACGCCCTCACACCCACATTCTGATGCTCACAACCACGGACAGCATGGGAAAATAAAGATAATAAGTGAATAACCAAATGTTAAGCCTAATTTTGATTTGGCTTAAAAAAAAAAAGAAAAAAACTCTGTAGCAACAGGATGGTTTCAGAGTATTTTCTCCCCACAGAGTAAGTGGTCCTTGGCTTGGATAGACTGAGGGAATGAAGTGCAGAGGCTTTCTTACACTGCAAGCATCACCCTGATCCTGAGATCCAAACCCCAATGCCAACAACCCCAGGCAGGGTGAAGCCACAATTTCCCCCAAACTCTGAGACTAGTTTACAATTCATGATCAAAACAAACAAACAAAGGTTCTTCCCATCTGCTGGTGATACTCTGAGCGTGCACAGTTCACCCCAGACTTTTTTGCCTTAGGAACTGCAATATTTAAATATTGCTAATATTCACATATAGCAACATCCCTCTGGCAGGCAGAGCTGGAGGAAAACAGCCAGAAGGCTTGTAATTATAACTTGGAACTTCCCAGTTCCTTGCAGGTGAATCTCCAGTTCTGGCACTAGTAAGCCAGCACAGGCAGAAGTATTTAGTGGGAAAAAAAAATGCCAAGGGAAAAAGAAACCCCTTTTTTCCCTTTAAGTGTTGCACTGAGAGGCTGGTCTGAGGAAACCACACACTTTCCTCCTACAAGAACTCTTATTGCTCTACCTGCCCCAAACACAGCACCAGCACCACATTAAAATCTCCAGAGAAATCACCCATTATATCCCCCACCCTCCTGCTTTCTTATTTTTCCCCAGTGCTGGAATGTATTTTCTCCTTTGGCATGGGATGTGGTATCAGGTACAGAGAGAATCCATCAGGTTCTGGGTTTTGAAGCTGAGCTCTGCACACAAAATTCAAGGCAGGGCTGGTGCCAGTGCGAGGAAAACAGCGATTTAAATGGAAATGAGACCACCCAGAGCCTTCCCCTTTCTCCGTGGCTTTTTCAGGAGCACCTCCTCGGAGCAGAGGTGAAGTGCCACAATGCCAGCACGTTCCCTGGCCGCAGCTGAGCAATGTGCCGGCTGAGCTGCAGCCCCACGGCCCTTCCCTGTTTCATTCCAGACCTGGAGACTCCAACATGCAATTGTTTACACAGGCATCGACTGTTTAGTCTGGTCCATTTCACATGGATTTCTTGCCTGCAGGGAGAGTCTGCACTCAAACTCCCCCAGTAGCCAAAATATCCGAGAGGAACTGCATGTGCTGCCACAGGACAAATCCTCACCTCCAACTCTGCGCTCAGGCACTGACACCAAAGGGCCCAGGGAGGATTTCCAGTGCCACCACAGGTGCTGCCAGCCTGTCACCTCATCCCAAAGGACGCTGAAGCAGTGGGCAGGAGCGGGAAGCGCTCCCAAAATTGTGTTTACTTTGCCATGCCCCCGTGGCAGACTTCCTGAGCAGCGAGTACCCCGCTGCCTTCTGCTAGATGTTTTATATTTAACTTGGCAGTGGGCAGTGCCATGGCAATATCCCATCTGCTCCCCCCCTTTCCCGGGAGTGATGTCAGCCAGCTCCCACGAGGGTGGCTGGTGAGATTCCTGGTGCTTCCCAGCCCTGCCAGGCTCAGCTGGGACATCCCGCTGTGGCAGGTGATGGGCAGGGCTGCTCCACCCCAAACGTGCCCTACCCCTCAGTGCCCACGCACCCAGAGCCTCACCAAGATCCTGCCCATGCGTCTGGAACCAAAGCTCTGGCTCACACACCATTCATCTGTTTGTACAGATGAGGTCCAGGAACGATGCCCTGGGCAACACGTGGATGCAAGAGTAGCAAACCAGCAGAAACAGCATTAAAATGGGATGTGCAGAGAGAGGAGGAGCAGACAGGAGACCCATTTTCTGTAGGAGCTGATCTCTGCAGCCATTATTAACCACCTCCCCCAGGACTCCTGTGCCCACGGCTGATCAACCACAGGCACCCAGTGCTCCCCAAAACCAACCCCTGCCTCACACACTACCATGAAACCCAGCTGGGGAGCAGCTCAGCTCCCACAAAAACTCCATAGCAAGATTAAAAGTGCTGGAAATCAGTAGTCGAGGAGGGCAAAGCCTCAGGGGCAGAATATATCTCTGCTTTTAGCCTTTACTTTGGCCCTGGGATGGCTCCACAGCCCCACTGAGCCGAGCAAAACTGCAGGAGCAACATCACTGCAGATCCTCAGCCTCTCCTCACCCACCTCTGATTTTCAGAATATTTAGGACTTGAACCCATCTCAACAATGAACAGCTTAGAAAGCAACAGGTTTCTGAAGTGAAAGGTGAGATTCTGCTGTCTGGTGAGAACACAGCTGTAAAAGCCTCCGCAAGTATTGCAGGACTTGCTGCAGAACCCAAAATTACTTTTAAATTTCTTTTTAGACATCAATCTTCAACTTTTTTTAGAACTACTCATTTTAGTGATGTCAGAGAATTTTCTCTGTAAGACTGCATGGTGAAGATTAAATCTCTGAGCCTTCAGGAAGACTCATTTTCTATTTTGGGGGACACAAAGGTAATTTTTCTTGGGGGAGTGGGATACCACTGTTACAAAGGTGCAGAGAAAGTGCCATTCTAAAAGGAAAAAAAGTTATCAGTAGCATTTCTTAAATATTCTTAGTTCTGGAAAATAAAAGGTACTTGTCATGAGGAGACAAGAGTTTAAGTACAGCAAGAACGGTGATGGAGAAATGCATGAAATAATACAAAAACTGCTTGCCAGTGAGAGCCGCATTAAAAAACCCTTTAGGGAAATTAATTTCTCCTTCAGCTGTAATTTTTGAGCTGCAGCAATAAAAAAGGACAACTCTAGCAGACCCAGCAGCATCCTGACCATGGGATGAACTGCTTTAATATTTCAGCAGACGAAAAGCGCGAATGCAGCTCCAGTGCCCGTCTGCGGTCACGACACCAAAACAAAGTTTGGGATTTAAAAAGTTCAGTGCAAGTTTAATAGATTGCATAAACCAGCACCCAGCCCAGCGTGGCCTCTGCCTGCCAGGCTCCAGCCCTCCTTCAGACTGTTTTGCACTGTCAGACACGAAAGGTGCTGCCTTTAAGGTGTTTATTATGCTGGATCCCCCTGTAACGAGCTTCCCGCTCGTTAGTGCACGAGGGGCTTCTCTGTCCCATCAAGAGGGTGCTGGGACCACAGGGATTCTCTGCTGCCACTCCACCAGTGCTGCACACACAGGATGGACAGGGCAGGAGATGGGGAACAACCAAAAAGATGGAGAAAAATAAAAAAAAAAACCCATATATTCTTATTTCTCTCCTTAGCTCCAAAAAAGGTTTTGAAGAGTCCACATCCTCAATGGGGTCAAGCAGAGACACAGAGGTCAAACACTGCTGCAAAGCCATTTAAATCACTGATGTGCCTGAAGGCTGAATAAGTAACAGAGCTGAGCCAAAAAATGGTTGGAAATTTTGGCTTGGTAAAATTTAAAATAGAAAAAAGCAATAAAGGGGAAAAAGGAATTGTTTTTTAAAGAGTCAATTTTTCATTCAACCTGAAATTCTGGTCAATCTCCATGTAATTTTCTCTTTTCTCTCCATGTTAGCCTTCTGAACTCTTTTTAAAGAAAATAAAAAGCAGGCCACTTAAGAACACAGAAATTACTGTATTAAAATAAAGAGGGCTTGAGCTGAACTTTGCTTTGAAAATGTAAAACGACACATTTGGCATTGGGCAGGTAAAACATTCTGGACACGATAAAGCAGTGAAAGGATCTGAAAATGGGAGAAGTGTTTCTGCTATTTTTAATAGCTCATGTGCTGGGATGCCCACACCCTGCTGCTGCTGGAAGTGGGAGCACGGGACCGTGAGAGGAACGTAAGATTTCCGGGTGGAGCTGGGATATGTGTGGGGAGCTGGGCTCTGAGCCCCAAAGCAGGGAGGTGCCTGAGCCATCTCCACCCTCACACCAGCTGGTTTAACGTGGGATCAGGCATCCCGTGGGATCAGGCATCCCGTGGGATCTGGCATCCCGTGGGATCTGGCATTCCCAGCACTCCCATCCCGCTGCAGCAAGGACAGACCCCGAGCTGGGATCACAGCCCAGTGCTCACAGCCCACACAACAAGGGGTTAATTTAATCGGGCTGGGGTTGGCACAGCTCTCCTTCCCACGGGGCATCCCCCTCACACAGCGGCCAAGAAGGGACCAAGAAGGGACCTCACACGTGCGTGTGGCGTGTGACAAAATCAGCAGCTACCAGGGACAGCCCTGGGCAGCCTGCAACTGCACTGAAGGCTGGCTGGCTTAGTGAAAGATCTTAGACATCCCTCTCACAAAAAAAAAAAAAAAAAAATAGAGGAAAGAAAATGGAAAAATAGAAGAAAAAAACCCCAAGCAATCTCTGTATTTGATCTTTTTCCTGCAGCGAGTACGGATTTGATTCAGGGGAGCACAGCCCCACACGGAGCAGCAGCAGTGTCAGCAGCAGCCGTGTGTCCAGCCTGCCCTGGCAGCCTGCAGAGGAGGGGGCACGCAGCAGTGGCCTTGGGGGAGCCCTGCTTAAAGGGCTCTAAGACCCTTCAGGGTGAATGCTAAAAAAGAGAAGTATCTGTACAAGACATCCCTGCACTGGAGACAAAGCCAGGGAGGCAGCAGTGAACAGTACATGCTCCCCTTCAAGAAAATGTGATACCTTTTCTCTGTACATCCTTCTAAGTCTCTCTGAGCCACTACGTTTGAGAAAACTGCATGAACCAACATCTGCCTTGAGGCTGGTGAGGATTCCCCTCAAATCCCTGTCAGAGGTACAATTCACACGTTTCTCCTCAGGCTTTTGTGGAGCTGGGAGCCTGAGAGCCTCTCACACATCCCCTTGGAGAGATCTCTGCTTGTCTGGCTGACAAGTGATTTCTGCCCCTTCCACCACAGTAATGGCAGCAGCACTGGTGAAAACTGGAGCAAGTTACTCAGGATTTCCTGCTCTCCGCAGGGCAGGCAGGAAGTTTTTATACAGTCACTTGAGACTAACTGGAGCCAAAGGACTGGATAGTTTGGGACTGCTAAACCAAGGCACATGAATCCCAACCAGCTGGGGGTGGTGGTTTCAGGAACAGGACATGCCAAGAACAGCCTCATGCAGTCACTTTACTAATGTAAAATCCAAATTGTAAAGCTCAGGGCAGAGGCAGAGGCTATGGCTGTCCATACATACAGCATCCTAAGCACCAGAGGCACCTCTAAAATGCCCCCTCACCCCCAAAGAGAGAGAGATAATGCCAAGGCCAAACATAACCTGGCATGTGTGGCTGGAAGAGCAGGGTGTGACTTACTGAGGAGAGGTTCTCGTCTCGCCGCCTGCCCTGGCTGTGCCGGCTGATGAAGGATCGCGCAGAGAGTTTGTAGTGGTTCAGCAGACACGTGATCACCACCACCATCACCATCATCACCACCACGATTATGATTATCTGTACAAACTCCAACTCCGCTGCAAGAGAGACAGACAGATTTTGAGCCATCAGGAACAGCAGCAGGTAACTGAGCACAAGAACAACTGAAGTGGCTGAGACAACACTGACACCGCTGCACCCTTCCCGTTACAGCTCTGACACGTGGGCTCTCCGTGCCCTGAGCCCACAAAAACCTCATTCATTCACTTTTTCAGTGTCACAGAAGAGTCTCCAGGAGGGATCTTTGCAGACAATCTACACTGCAGAGTGTCTCCCAGCTACAGCACAGACTGGACTTCCCAAAGACCTCCTGGTGTCCCGAGCACTGGGGACAAAACCAGGAGCATCCCAGTGCCTCACGTGCCTCTCTTGAGGCTGCAGAGCCATGAACCAACAGAATTCACCCTACCGAACCAGTTCAGCTAAATGCAAGCTAAATTTCTGCAGTTCTCTTCCCAACACCACCACTCCTTCCTGCGGGGAGGACAGGACTGAGCCCTCCTCGGCACATCCCCGCACGAGCACACATCCCCTCCGTCCCAGGGGTCAGACAGTGGTGGCCCAGGGGACAGCACAGCACAGCACAGCAGGCAGTGGCAGCCCCCGTTTCCAAGGCTGCCCACCCAGCACAGGAAGCAGGCGGGGAGAGCTCCAGCTTTTGGGTGAGACGCCAGATGGGTGCCATGCGTCTGCCACGGGGCCACGTCCCGCAGCTCCAGACAGCCCCGGCTCAGGGCTCGGCCAGCTGACAGTGGCAGCTTGAGTGGCTTGAACTGGCAGGAAGGAAAACTGCCAAAAGCCCTCCAAACAAACAAGAACAAGCAAACAACAGACTATCCGGTTAACTCTGCAGACACTTGGCAGGAGGCAGCAAGAAGTCGCTCCTAAAATTTCCTAAGGAAATAATTCCTCACACCTCTCTGAGGCTTAGGAAAATTGAGTACTGGAGGCAAACATTGTGCTGGGTCATTATTTCCATGAATTTGGTGCCCAGGGAGTACATGCCATTCCCAAACTGCTCAGTCACTCCCCCCAACCCCCTTCACGCCAGCAGTGCCCAGGACTGGGCAGCAGCAACTCCAGTGCCCAGCATAAAGGAGGGGCCAGACAGCAAAATTCAATCATTCCAGGGATTTACAGCTTGTTTGCTTCTCAGCAGTGACAGCTATAAAATCCAGCTTGGGAAATGCCCTAAGCTATCATGGATGCTGCCATCTATATTTAATCTATATAGACACACACACATATAAATCTGCAGACACACAGCAAGGCCCATCAGACCTCAACGGGCACCACTCATACCAGCTGGGATGGCTTCTGCTGAGTCACGAAAATTTATTAGGTTTTTCATTGGATTTTTTTTTAATGGAAAGTTTTCTCCTGACAGGTGGCATTTGAGTGCCAGTAAAAGCAAATAAATGTCAAGAAAACAGTCCAGGTGGTGAGCACTGCCAGTTACCTTGGAGCTCTTTCTGCTAAACAGCAGCTATTTCTGCCACTGCCCAAAATGCTCCACCAGCTCTGCCCACTGCCTGCAGAAAGCAGAATTATGCCTTGAAAGCAGGAACCTTATCTGGCACTTTGATCTGGATGGATGAGGGACTTTGAGCCCAGATCCTTCCAGCACCCCTAAGATGCAGCTGCCTCTCCTCTGGAAGGTTCCACACGGGGTGGGAAGAGAGGGATTAAAAGCCAAACATTGTACAAGAGTTTTGCCTTAAAAATGTTTTTTAGCTAGAATAAAAGATAAGCTCTGGGTCTTTCACAGCAACCCCAGGAAGTTGCCCAGTGCCACTGTGAGAGGAACAGCATGGAAGAAAACCACACTCCCATAAATTTGATCCAGCCCCAAAGCAGCACAGCTCAGCTGTGGGACCCAAAAGCTGCCCCTGGTGCCCTGTGCTGGAGGAACTGGCTGGAACAGGAGCTCGCTGCTTCTGAGCAGAACCCAGACTGACCACAGGCACAAAACACCAAAACCTAAAGGGCTGGGAAAAGGGACAATGCAAAACCATTGGAAAAAAAGGCACAATGACTCTTCCCATGTCACCCCTCCTATGCAGGGGAGTCCCTACACATCCCAAAGACCTGTCCTGGTGCCAGCTGTACCTGAGCACTGACAGCACCCCAGCCAGGCACAGGGCACCCCACAGCTCCCCTGGGTGCTGCCCTGGTCATCCATGAAGATGATCTGGCTCATCCATGAAGAGCCAGAGCCCAGAGCCCTGTGCCTGCCCTCCCCGTGGCAGCAGAGCAGCCACCCAGCCTGCAGAGCCCGACTCTTGCAAAAATCATTATGGAAAAGAAAAAACTAAGCAAAAAAACCTCTAAATGTTTTTAAGAAGATGAGTCACTTCAGCCTCAAAATGTAGCATGTGCTTTGGCCATGGTAAGAAAACCTAAGAAAAAGTATAAATGAAGCTGGTGATGGAAAACTTTCCTTTCTGTTAAAAGGGAAAACTTTTTTTTTTTTCTTTTCTTCTAAAGAAAAACAAGGCCAAAGTAGTAATAAAGGAAAGTTCCTTCCCTAGGACAAGATATACCTTAAATGAACCAAACCTTGCTAAATTGGTCCTGGTGCTTCAGTGACACAGGTGAAATTTTGGCCCAGGAAACTCCTTCCCAGGAAGGAACACACAAGATGTGTCACTTACAAATGACCTAAACCAGGCTTCCTGCACACACAGACACAGAACCAGCAGAGCCTGAAGGAGGACTGGGAATTCCATCAGCATCTGGGACAACACAGCAGTGTCTCACCCATCCTCAGTCTCTGGGGCTGCTGTAACTGGGGATTACACCACAGGAAGGCACAGGATGATTACCAGAACAAAGGGGATGCTGCTGTCCAGCTGGGATGCTCCTCCTGCCCCATCTCAACCCCAAGCCCAGGCTCTGAGGAGCAGCCCAGCATTACCATGCCCAGGAGCAAACCCATCCTGCCTTAATCCCAAGAACACACTCAGGTTGCCCAATCTGGCCTTTGGAAAAAAACAAAATAGAAGTCAAACAAAAACAAAAACAAAAACAAAAAACCAAAAAAAAAAACAAAACAAAACAAAACAAAAAAAAACCAAAAAAAAAAACAACAAAAAAACAAACCAACCCAACAAAACAAAAAACCCCCCACACACTCAATTTGTGCTTTTCATGTTTTAAGAGACTCATATCCACTCGAGGCACCAAAGTTTCTGCCAGCTCTCCCTCTGTTTTAACTTGTCTTCACGGGCTTCTTTTCTGCAGAAGGGAAAACAAACCCAACACACTGGAAAGCTGGATATGCTCAGTAAGATTTTTATCCAAGCAGCTCAGTCAAACTAATGAAGAAAGATCATTAAAAACCCAAAGTTTGAGTTAATATGCTATTATACAAGTGCAATTCAGCTGCTATGCTAATAAAAAGCCTTTGGGGAATGAAAAACAAGCCAAACTGCAAAGCACATAATTTATAATTCTACTGGTATTCTTAAAAACACACACACAACAAAACAAGAAAAAAAAATACTCAACACATTTTGTATTTGGCTTCCTAATCATTGTCACTTTTCAATTAGAAGAGACCTCATTCCATTTCTCTCTGTAATTTTCCCCAAGGGAAGTGTTATAAATGCACTAGGCTTTACAAGATGGGCATATTCCGCCTCCAAATGCAAAGCAAGGTCACACTAATTTAATTTTGCATAATTTTTATTCCAGAATACGTTTCAAACTAACAGGTTCAGACATCACATTTAAGTGACACAACCTGCTTTTCCGTATTTTCTGTCTAGACGCGGCAGCTCCGGGAGCCGGGCGCCGTGCGTGCCACTGTTCTGCAACTCAGCATTTTCCCCCCCAGATTCTCAGCACCCCAGAACGGGGTATTTCGTGACCAAGGAGAAGCACTTGTCACGTCCCATTCTTCACGTTCACTGCCTGCTTGCCACTCCAAACCACGCCTGGCCTTGAACAAGGGCTTGGCAGGGGGGTACGGAGATGTATGAATGAGTGATGGGGCTCTGCTGCTTCCACAGCCTTGGACTCCACTCTCCTGTATTTATAAGAAGCTTGCTGCCCACCCTGCTGCCCAGTCACCAAGACTATAAAGCTCTGAAGTGTCTCAAATTTATGGATTTATGTGTGGGTCCCACACTGAGGTGCCGGCCCGCTCACAGCTCCACAGGGGATGCTGCAGGAAAGTGCATCTGGGAGCTTCCTCTAGTCCTCATGAACAGAATACTGGCACCCACAGGTTCAAATTAATTAATATATTTACAAGGAGGGAGAGTGATTTGAGTCAATGGTGATGCTGGGAGCACCCCCACAGCCGCAGGGGAGGTGAGGCTGGGTTACACTTTAAATGCATTGCCTTGCCTTTTACAGCTACATTTCAGTTCATAAAATGCTTCCTATAAACTTTATTAATGCTCTTGCTTCCACACAGAGTATCTCTGCAGAAGACAAACTCTCCAAACCAACGTAAGTATAAAGGAGAAAAAAAAAAACCAAACCAAAACCTGTATTTTGCTGCAATCATTCCAGACACTCCAGCTATCATTTACAGGTAGACAGAACAGCTTAGAGGCAGGGTCTCAGCCAAGATGACCTGTGCTTTCAGCCAGGTATAACACACATCTGCAGGTCAAACCAGTCATCCCCGAGCTTCAAATACAATTTCTGTAGGTACTGGAATTGTGTATCGTGTGAGAAGTGCCGAGAAGAAGTGAAACTACTCAGGAGGTAACAGCTAAGATGAAGAAATGTAGCTGCACTAGCCATAACTCCTAAGGAAAAAAGTTAAAAAAACCCTCACTTAACACACTCACACACAGTTACACATTCTTAACACACTCACACACTTTCTTACACACACATTCTTACAAACTCACACACACTCTTACACACACACACACATACTCTTGTTAAACAGTGTTCTTCCTTTCAGAGGCTGTGGACAGCAAAGAAGAGATGAAAGAACAAAGAACTTCAGATGGCAGATTACTCACCCTCGCTCATCTGCTAGGTCATCTCAGAAACAATCAGAGCAGGCAAAGTCATT